TATACAATTTGGAGTTATAAAGAATTGATTGTAATGTTAACCATTTTCGCAATTACTTTCACAAACCTTTGAAACTTGAAGATGAAATGATAGAAAGATTACTGTAGAACATGACACCAATCCATGTTTGTGTAATAAAAGAATGATTATATCATCATTAAATGGAGTCAAAATAGCTGCAAACGCATATAATATATATAATTTAGATCCTTTCGCTGATCAAAGCATGAGCTTTTCTGGCTTTTGAATTTTAAAATAAAATAAAATAATGTTAAACTCTATAATTCCTTTCAAAATTATCCTTAGGTTAACGAATAAAGTATTGGTATATATATAGTTAATTAAGTCAAGTCAGAAGTTTTCTTTGTAATATCTCTGTGTGTCATGAACATGTCAGATGAACATATTGTATTGCCGAAATAATGATGACAATAGGCTCGGATTATTTCGATAATAAAATATGTCTAAACTGTTTGTCACATCTGACATGGTCTTGGCACTACACTTAATGCATGAGTTCCAGGTGGTGAAATTGAAATCATCCCTTCGCAAATTTTACGGACGCCATCACGAGTTGGTTGACCGTTATGGGATATCTTTTTCACGTATCCAGTTGTTGTAACCACAATCCCGTGCTCATTTGCTGGAATATAACCTACCGAATTAGACTTATCACCTGATTTGTACTTACATGAGCAACACGACGGGTGCCACATTTATCCTCCTTTTTCTTTTCGTAACGAGTACAAAATTTATAGTCCCTTGTATGGACAGTGTATTACTTCCATTTTTTCAACACCTTCCCAATTTCAGTCTTCGTGTTTTATGCATAAAATAGCCAGAAGGGCCTTAAAATTACACTGTAAAAATGTTGGTCATAAATTTAAAAAAACCGTAGTAGTTAAACTAAATGTGCTTTAAGGTGTTCTACATTCGATTACATTTGCGCGTAAAAATTACTATAGAACATCATATTTTTGATATTTTCAGTATGGTAGAAAATCTTGTTAAACTAGATACGAAACTCCATGGAAAATATTCATGGAATTCTTACACTAAGTCGTGCGTATTTTTTTTTTCAAAAGGAAAGAGTTCACTACCGTAAAATATCTACTGTTAACGGATACAATTAGTCAAATGATTAGGGTATATGGATTTGTGACCTCAAATATGAAAAAAAAATATATTTTACAATTTTTTTTTTCGAAGTAAAAGTTTTTTATATGATACTCCTAAACAATCTATTGTACCTGTGGTACCTGTAAAAAGAATACATGCAAATGTAATAAAATATTCTGTGCAATAGTAAAAATAATCAATTCCCTAATGCGCGCAAATGTAATGCGCCCTTGCTTTAAATATTTGCGTCACATATGATCACAGATATGCTTAACTTGTCGTAACAACAATCTCGTCCTCTTTTCGTCTGTTGTGACATGGTCGAAAGCGAATTATTACCGGATTTTACTTGATTGAGCAACACGACAGGTGCCACATGTGTAGATGTCACTATCCACCCTTCCGGAGCACCTGAGTTCATCCCCGGAATTTGGTGGGGTTAGTGTTGCGCAATCTTTAGTTTGCTATGCAATGTTTTGTTATTGTACTTTTAGGACAATTTATGTCAAATAGAAAATATCAGCAGCTCTTACTCATAATGTTTGTGTTTTAAGTTAAACAGAGGTTTGGAAAGGGCAATCAAAATCCATAAGTCCAATATGATATAAACAGACAACACCATGGGGAAAGAAAACTACGAAATGACAAACAACTACTATATATATATATACACTACACTGTAAAAATCTCTTTGAGATCGAGAAGATGCGATTTTTTTATTTGAGTTTATTATCTAAAAGAAATGCATCACTACGAAATAACTGTGTTCTCGGATGTATGTTTATGATGAGGTTTTTTTACAACCACTGGGTCGATGACACTGCTCGTGGAATTTTTCTCCCTGAGGGTATCACCAGCCCAGTAGTCAGCACTTCTGTGTTGACAGGAACTATCACTGATATGGTCACAATTATAAATTAACTGTTTACAAAACTTTGAAATTTTCGAAATACTAAGGATTTTCTACTCCGGGAATAGATCACTTAAGCTATATTTGGCAAAACTTTTAGGAATTTTGGGTCCTGAATGCTCTTTAACTTCGTACTTTATTTGGCTTTTTTAACTTTATTGTTTCGAGCGTCACTGATGAGTCTTTTGTAGACGAAACGCGCGTCTGGCGTACAAAATTTAAATCCTGGTATCTATAATGAGTTTTTTTTAAGCCTCACAAATATGTAATACAAAAAAAGAAAAAATACAATTATTAACTACAGAGGATAGTTGTTTTTCTTTTCGTCGTTTATAATTGAAACAAGACTAAACTATTCCTGTTGTTTTTGCTGCATTCAAATTCAAAACGCAATTTGTTCTGAACATTGCGCACGATCGTATAGATCTCCTTGCGCTCTTTGTGACATTACTGTATGAAATCACACATAGGAGTGTAGGACGCATGCTGATTTCATATCAGCGGATTAAGAGCTTAATGAGCTTGGATTCTGTAACTGTTAGCATGCTTTGATATAACAATGGTAGTGTGTATTATTGTTTTGTTTCACGTAACGCGTGTTGTACAGTTGTTATCATGCAGTAGGCTATTAACCTGTTAGTGAATAGTGTAGTGCTTTCTCTGTACTGATATTTATTGCTTGCTCTGTACTGATGTTTAGCGCTTGTTCTGTACTGATGTTTAGCGCTTGCTCTATACTGATGTTTAGCGCTTGCTCTGTACTGATGTTTAGCGCTTGCTCTATACTGATGTTTAGCGATTGCTCTGTACTGATGTTTAGCGCTTGCTCCGTACTGATAATTAGCTCTTGCTCCGTACTGATGTTTAGCGCTTGCTCTGTACTGATGTTTAGCGCTTGCTCCGTACTGATATCTAGCTCTTGCTCCGTACTGATGTTTAGTGCTTGCTCCGTACTGGTGTTTAGCGCTTGATCTATACTGATGTGTAGCGCTTGCTCTGTACTGATGTTTAGCGCTTGCACTGTACTGATGTTTAGCGCTTGCTCTGTACTGATGTTTAGCGCTTGCTATATACTGATGTTAAGCGCTTGCTCTGTACTGATGTTTAGCGCTTGCTCCGTACTGATGTTTAGCGCTTGCTCCGTACTGATAATTAGCTCTTGCTCCGTTCTGATGTTTAGCGCTTGCTCGGTACTGATGTTTAGCGCTTGATCTATACTGATATTTAGCGCTTGCTGTGTACTGATGTTTAGCGCTTGCTCCGTACTGATGTTTAGCGCTTGCGCTCCGTACTGATAATTAGCTCTTTCTCCGTACTGATGTTTAGCGCTTGCTCCGTACTGATGTTTAGCGCTTGATCTATACTGATGTTTAGCGCTTGCTCTGTACTAATGTTTAGCGCTTGCACTGTACTGATGTTTAGCGCTTGCTCTGTACTGATGTTTATTGCACGTTCTTTAAGTACATTTGGTTTTTCCACTGTATGATTGAAAATAAAAGGGGTTGAGAATAATTATCATAATTCTCGAAATTTTGTTTCCCTGGTGGTCGTTGAAGAAAAACTGCTGGTTCTCACTATCATTTCTATTGCAAAATGTCATAAGTGTGTCGGTCCTTTGAAATGTTTGGTGATCAAAACCTTAGGACCACCACTTTTCAAGAACTTTAGCTGTGAGAACTAAAAAAAGCTTAACACCGCCATATGTTCATTTACCATTTTAATGTGCATGTCCTAAGTCTGAATCCACATTAGTGGTGGCATATCTTAATTTGTTTAATTTTTTGGTCAATTGTGGTATTTTGTGACACAATGGAAGATCTTTTTAGGGCATAATTAAGTCTCTGCTTAAGTTTACAACCTTCTTAGATTCGGTCGATTTATAGAGCTCGAGATACTGTGTATAGACAAAACTGTATTACGTACGTACGATACATCGACTTTAATTAAATCTGTTATGCTAATTTATATTTTTGCTTTAATTATACAACAATGGAGCCCCCTAACCACTAGAACAAAAAATACAAAATAAAGAGGATACAAAGTAGTGTTAATAGACAGTATGCCAACTGGCCATCACATTAGAAATTGATCAAGTGTCAAACTTAACGGAAATGATTAGAATACTCCGGTACTGGAAAAGTCTCCTGAAAACGACAAAGCAGCTAAACACATTTATATGCTTCAGTCATACAGTAAGAAATAATGTGTGCTAAAATATAAATAATAATACACAAAATATAAAGAATAGAGAAAAATAACCTAGAAATTAAAGAACACAGAAATGAAGGACCTCCATCCCTCCCCAGTGGGCACTCGACGTTGTAACAACGTTGAAATTTGGTTGGAATTTGGTCGTAACGTTGATCAACCTAATTTCAACGTTGATCTAACGTCATAATATTCATTGTTGACTTTACAACTTTGTTTCAACGTTGAATTTACGTCGTTAAAATTAACGTTTAAACAACAACGTTGGTTCAACGTTGGGTTAACGTCTGTCATTCGCGACAGAAAAATCTAATTGTCAAAATCGAGGTGTACAGATATATTTGATGAGCAGATAGGACAAGGGGCAGTTCAGTATTATACACGATTGGATAATCAGTGGCTAATCCAGAACTTTTCATAATACTTATAAGGGGGTCCACTGACTGCCATAAGCATGAGTTCAGAGGGGGCTTCCTGCTGTCATGCTTCCATGATCCCTTTATAATCAACCAAATTTTCCCACAAAAAAGGGGGGAGACCGGACTGTTGTTTTGTGCAAGAACAAGGGGTCAGGAGACATCACAAATAACACAGCTTTTTCCATTTAATTTTTTTTCAAGTTGTGTTTATTTTTTAAGTATCTTTAAATAAACCAATTCAAAACCATTATTCAATAATTTGTGTTTGATGATTCTCTATTTTTTGGGGAGATCTCAAAACCTGTTCATGCTATTTTAACCATATGTGTATCTATATGAATATGATATATTTTGTTATTTATATTTTTAAATCAAATCGATTTTTAAGTTGCTTTCTTTCATTTAAATATATAAGAGAAATTTTTTGATATATTTATTTTAATTATTTTTACCGATTAATATTTAACATATATAAACGATCTTAAAATATCATCGATGTACAATGTATTCAGTATAATAATTGAGTAGTTTTTAAATTTTCGCGGTATTTTAAGTTGAGGTCCGAAAATTTTCTTTCGGATGCGGACGCTAGCACGCGCACCTCCATTCAACATCCGTTTTGAAAATTTTGAAAATTATCCTTGACAAATTATCGCACCATACTGATAAACAAATAGTGAACAACTGTGTCTAAAGAATATAAAGACAAGAGAAGACTTTTCTGTGTAAACCTCTTGATGTTAGCGTAAGTATGTTTTACAGTTAGATTAACAAAGAATCATAAAATATACAAACACATTCAAATGATCAAATTATTTGTTTGCACGTTTACGTTCACACAGGAACATATATATAGATATACTGTTCCCAGGTTCACAGAAATTATGACAAGGTCTCATCTTACTAAATCTGACTCATTTTCGTGTCATTACAGTTTAATGATTTGTTTGCATATAATATCCAATCAGCGAACTAACAATAAAATATCTAGGCATGTTATGATGTACAGAATCAGTCATATCAGAAAAGGGGGAGGGGGTCATCGAATACTAGCCAATTCGTTCAAATACAACTCGATACCACATAGAAATGGTCTGCTCTTAGATACTGTTTTGGTCTTTTTGATATTTTCGAAAAATATCAGTCGTCTTTGACAGTTTCAACTGTATCTGAACATTATGGTTATTACATGTTATTGATGCAAGCTGGGACAATAGTTTCAAATGGACATGTTGCGTTCTATGATTTTAAATATTTTTTTTTGTTATTGGTAGAATTTGATAATATTTCCGGCTTAAGAAAACAACTTTTATTATGTAATTCAAATTTATGTTCTTTCTCTTCCAGGCCTTTAGATGATGTTCTAGACTGCCACAAAGAGACAACAGAATCCAAAATATCTTAGCAGTGTTCAAGACATCTGAAGTGTGAAGAGAGCAGAATGAGTTGCTAGGCCAAAAGAATAGATCTTTAAAACAAAATAAATTTTTCATTTTAAAAACCTATTTATTTATTTCTATAATTAACTTAGTTACTAGTAAAAAAAGGAAGTGAAATTAAGAAATACATTATTTGGTGTTCTTCATCTGTTTGTTTGGTTAACTTAATTGTATCGGGTGTATAGATAATGATTGAATGAGTAAACAGCTTGGTGATGTATTATAATGGTTTGTTCCGAAAGCCTTAAAGATAAATGTAAAAAACACATATCCGGTATACCCACAAAAAGTTACAATTGAGATCGACAAGATATCAATAAAAATTAAAAAAAAAGACACAAAATAGAACTAAATATTGGATAACAAAAACTTAAAATGCGAAGTTATTTTAAGTGGTCCTGCTATGTATTCACATTAAACAAAGGAGGCATTTTGTGTCACTGTGTCAAACTTGCTTCATTTACATGATTTTGAATAAGTTGGAAAACTTAATCAACCAGAACAAAACAATGTGCTGTAGTAAGTTGATGCATGTGTTCCTTTGTTTGAGAAATTGATGTGCTAGAAAAGAAAGCTTTGTTAATATTGAAATACTTGTTTTCAAATAAAATCTTGATATTCTAACTGTTTCTCCTCTTCGGGTTTGATTGTGATTGTCTACTATGCTCTTTTTGGAGTTGTCTCTTGTTGAGAAATGAACTATTGATGGCTGTTCTAACTTGAAATAAAAAAAGTGAGTTATTTCATAATTCAGATATCTTATTATTGTATTTGAACACGTGCCAATAAGGATTAATTTACACTTGAGAACCATCACTTTACCAATCTTCAACCAACCTACAATTGACCTGATTTCAACCTAATTCGACCTGATTTCAACCTAAACCCGACCTGATTTCAACCTAACCCAGACCTGATTTTAACCTCACTGGACCCGATTTCAACATGTTATCAACGTCAATATAACGTTGAAACTGCAACGTTGATTCAACGTCAGGATTTCAACGTCATTACAACTTTCAAATCTAACCCAAGTTTCAACGTTGTGACAACGTTGAAGTCTGACATTGGATCAACGTTGATACAACGTTTTGTGCCTGCTGGGTCATGATCCCCTATTCCATGACCATTATTTATATATCTCTAATACGTCTAATGCAGCAGTAATGCTCGTCTTGAAGCCGGACCGCGAAAATTGTTCCGGCATATACCGACATACATTGTTACTACCATTCTATTTTAAAAGTTTTAATTTAGTGAGGCCTAGAAATACAACTAATGATAACTAGTGGTACGTCGGTGTATGGTGTCAGGTATATCAGTGACCTTGGTGGATAGTAAACTTGGAATTGATAGTAAATAGCAAATACTAATCATTTTTAGTATATTTATGTTCATATAATACAGCAAAACGCGAAAATAATTGAAATTGTTAGAAAAAAAAAAAAAACGGATTTTTGGGCTTAAAAAATTGCCTTTTCCCCAAGTATAAATAATAATAATACTGAATAATAATATTCTTTATTTAAAGAGGGTGATCCTACTTGGGGCCCTCATAATGTACGTACAAAATGATATAGTACAAACACATAAACAAAACAAACAAGCAGTATATATACATGAGTAATATCATTCATAGTGTTCATGTTAATTAACTTACAAATTATCTAGCGAATTATACTGTTAGAAATCGTCAGCTCATCCTGAACAGTGCGTAGTTTTTGCATATCTTTTTTTCTTCAAATTGATCATATTTTTTTTCAAATTCCATTTTAAACTGAATCGTAAATTATCTTCAGACGTATCGAAGGCATGAGATAAAGTGACTGACAGAGTTATCTTTCTTCTTCAAACTCTTCTGTTTTAAAAGTATATAAATGATGGATATTTTCGGGAATGTATTTTACGCAAATTCCACAACGATTTGTCAGTGAATGATAAATCTACCACATTGTAAGAAAGGGGACGATCCACCAATCTCTGTCTTATTCAATTGTAAAAGTTTTGATCACATGCATCAGGTTTCTTGTTCAGAACGTTATACACACAAAGCGTATGTCTGTTTTGTTTACATTTTTGTCATTTATGGTCATCTGATCAATGTCATTTCGAAACAACGGAGTTCTCAACAATATACGTACGGTAATCATTGCGTCCTGCATAGTAATTTATAACACAGCAGTTGGTGTATAGAATTAAACAGTGAACTTCATTTCTAATGTAAAGATCGCAAATTTGGTAAACACACAAATAATGTCTATGGTCAGATCATATGTTTTCGTACATCATATGAATTCGTACTATGCATGCTTTTTCAATGGAAATTGTGTCTTCACAATGCATTCTTAATAGCACGAAAACCCATGAGACGAGGATACATGGTATATTGTATAGTCCAAATAATTATGACGTCTTTTTTTTCTTCGTCGTAGGAAGGCATCACTGAAAAATTTTAAAATAGCCTTTCAAGACGTCATAATTATTTGGACTACATGGTATACAGCTACATGTAAGCAATCAGTTAACCAAAATTTTTGTCTCCCCTTGGATCACACTTCCACAAACATCCTTATTGCAGAGAACTCAACATTTAAAATCATATTATATAATTGTTTTTGTTATTATCACACTGGTACATGTATCAAACATTGTATTTTTGTACTGTATTGTTTGTATAACTGAATTATGATTGCATCTTTGTCATTGCTTTCTGAGGGACCTTAATTGGAATAATCACATATTGTATTGTATTGTACAGAGAGTTGTGAAGAGGGATGTGACATACACAGGCTGGTACCTACATGTAGATAACCCGAAAAACAGTCAAAAACAAGTTCAAAACTTGTTAAAGTTTAGACTCCCTAAAAATGAAATTTTATGTGGTCTTTTATAGTCAACTATGGTATAAAGAAAAGACAATATAATTGTGATTCAAGATGATTTTACTTAATTTCAGCTTTAGTCCACTAAATGATACATAGTAAAAATACATAGTACAAATGTATTACTGCCTATAAATTTGAAAGATCTTCCTTCTCTAAGTCTGATTTTCAGCAACTTACCATGCTTACCAGGGTATGTCACTTTCTAATAACAAGATATGTACATGTACATTCAATGTTAATAAGCTGAGGGTCATAAACTTGTCAAAAACATGAAGACAGGTAGAACTATAGTATTTTCATCAAAATAATATGACAATAAAGGCATGGACTTGCTAAAAAGGGCAGGGCGTCTTAAAAAGTGCACAGGGAGTCATTAAAACATTTGTAAAAGGGCACAGGGCGTCAGTTGGGAAAGGGGAACTGACCACCCTGTGAAAATTAGGTCTTCATTAATTGTTCTTATAGCTTATAGACTTGTTATTAGTTAGTTAAAAAAAATAAATAACAGACAAATGAGATTGTCATTTTCCATGAAATTACACATTTATAAATTTATAAATAGGAAGTATAACTATTAGTGACAGACAATTAAACACTCTACTAGAGAAGTGTAGTCAAGTAAAAAAATCATAAGGAAAAATATGACTTTTTTTACTTACTACTGTACAAATATTTTAATGTATGTATTACAATAATATATAAGGAAAATATCTGAAAGACTTGGTTAGGGAGATAACTCTAATTTATCTGTACAAATAAACAAAATTTACAAAACAATTATGTGAAAGAAGTATTACCACTGACCATGCTGACTGACGGTAACTTCTCTAAAATTATGGACATCATGATGCAATGATGTCATGTCAAACTCTATAGAATGGTTTGACAGAAACTGTAAACTACCAAAATGATCAAGAGCACATGATCTTCTTAAACCCAATAAAACTGAAACTGTCATCTAACAATTTTTTAAGATGCCATTTTATATTATGTTAGAGAAGAAAAACACACATTGTCACATTTTATCAAATTTCAGTTTTTGGTTTAAATGTACATTGATAAAGTGCAACTTTAGCAGAGGGCTTATGGCCCCTGGAAAATAAAAACTGAATAGAGTCAGGCCAAGAGTATTTTCAGAATATTCCTTTGAAATTGTCCCTGAAAGTGTTTATGTATCAATTTCCTGCCATTAACCATGGTAACTGAAAAATTTAAGCTTCAGTAGCTGCATTAGTGACTAACTATCATCACACTTGTAATTGTCAGTTTTATTTCTAAGTACATGTATATATAAAAATAGGAATGTGTGGTATAATTGCCAATGAGACAACTCTCCACCAGAGACCAAATGAGATAGAAATTAACAACTATAGGTCACAGTACGGCCTTCAACAATGAGCAAAACCCATACCGCATAGTCAGCTACATGTATTAAAGTCCCCAAAATGATGTATGTCGTATATGAAGATTTAATACAGCATCTTTAGATACTCATATTAATGTATGGAAAAGGTGGTGGATTGAAATACCCTATTGAATGAATGTTCAAATCCATCATGCCCATATTTAACATGTTTTATATAAAAAGAACAAAAAATGTGTGTCAAACTTGTTTTTTTTTTCCAGAATAATGGACAAGAAGGGCAAATTGAGATCATTGGATGATGATGATGATGATGATTTTGACTCCATGTTTAGTAGAACTGGTCCCCTGTTAGAAAGGAAAGGTATCAGATCCATGAATAAATTTGATCCAGACAAAATGATCGACAAATCTGTATCAGAAAGTTCCTTGTTTAAAGAAGCAAGAGCTCAAAAAGCCAACAAATCAGTATCATACAAAGCAGCTGCACACAGTTCCTCAGATAATATAGACGATAACACAGGAATTTTAGGGAATAAAAAAGTTTCTGAAAGTGCCAAAGTCTATTTTGATTTGTCCAAGTCTGAGGAAATGGAACAAGCAGCTATGAGTATGAAAATGACCAGTAAGGACGAAAGAGGAAAAGGGAAAATGGTACAAGCCGAGGCCAGTAAAAGTAAAGTTCAGATGGATCAAAAGTCATCAGTAGAGGCATACAAACAAGTAGAGAGCAAGAGTAAGGGTATTTTGTCCTCACAGGCCTCTGAAGAATCTAGTTCTTACTCCAAATCTAAAGAAGTGAAATTTCGCAGCTCAGAATGTTCATCAGTGCAGTCATCCATGTCATGCATATCTCAAGATTCTTTTTCCCAAGACGCCATTCTAGATGAAGTAATGGAGAGAGAGGAAGCTGTACCAGCTCTGTGTTTAAAATATCCCCTTGAACTTCCCCCGTCATACTCCAGTGACTCTCATATTTCCTGGCAGTGCCTAACAAACCTAAAGGTCAGTTATCAGAAGTCGTCAAGAAATTTAGAAAAACATATAGAGGCCATAAAAAATGCAAACGGTAATGTCAACGAGGAGATAAAACATTTAAACCTCATTTTAAGAGTCATAGAACATGCATGGAAAATTGAAGTATATGGTCGAGACTTATCCTATGGTTTATGTGATGTAATCCGACAGGAAGGAATCTTGGACATGGTCATTCAAAATTGCTCATCATCAAATAAAGACCTTCTTAAAGCCTCCGCTGGTCTTCTTGAACAAATACTATCAACAGAAAATAGGAAATATGTGGTAGAGAATGGTCTAGAGACGGTTATCAACATGACGTTAAGTTTGAAAGATAATCACGAATTTGCTAAATTTACAACAGGTATCTTAGAGGGATTGTTCAAAGTATCTGCTGAGGCATCATCTAAAATGGTGGCACTCGGTGGACTGGATATTATACTTCATTGGTGTAGAAGTGCCGATCTTGGAGTATTACGACGATGTGCCAAAGCTATTTCTAATTTATCCTTGTTTGGAGGAAGTGAAGTTCAAGAGGAAATGGCAACTCACAATGTACCTGAGTGGTTATTCCCCTTGGCGTTTATGGCAGACGACAATATACGTTATTATGCCTGTCTAGCAATTTGCGTCCTTGTTGCCAATAAAGAACTTGAAGCAGCTGTGATGAAATCTGGGACATTGGACCTTGTAATGCCATTTATAAACAGTACAAAACCATCAGTGTTTGCTAAAAATGACCTTGCACATCGTCAAGGTCGTGACAGTATCTACTTGGAACACCTCATCCCTTTACTTTCAAGTCGAAGAGAAGAAGCCCAAGCCCTTGCTGCTTTTCATTTTGCCATGGAAGCTGGAATAAAAGCTGAACAAGGACGAGTTGGGGTAAATTATAACAATATAGACTTGTTAAAAAAAAAATTTATCACATTTTGTACATCATGCACATTTAGTAGTCATATACATGTACACATAACATTTGAAAGAAATTACATTTTAAAGTAAAAAAATAAACTTTTTGAGAGAAAAAAATAATTACAATGTACCGTGACAATGTTTAGTAAATATCCACAACCAATGATGGACAATAATCATGATAATCATTATGATGAAACATTTGCTGCATGCATTTGCACCTGCCGTAATAACAATTTTATTTTATTAACCCAAATTTTCATTTGATTTATATAGATTTAAAAAGAACAAGAATACATTATTTCTTGTAAATACAAAATTGTATACAGTATACGATTATTGTTAGCATCATGAGCATTTTCCCTATAAACACTATACAGGCAGGATTCCTTTATTATTACGGTACTTTCCTGGTAGATAACATATGGACTATGACGAAGATGCTGTTTTAAGTAGATTTGATATCGACTTAATTTAACAGCAATTTTTTTTATTGAGATCTAAAAATTATGATAATCAGTCAGGGGTACTACTTGTACAAGTAATCTGTATTTACTTGAAGAAGTAAATAATAATATACTTATATAAGCATGATAAGTTAATTATAATGTTTGAATAATCTCCCCTTAATTTTCTCAAAAATTTACTTGTATAAGTAATTTTTTTTTTACAATCCCACAAAAATTCTCAAGTTTTGAGATGTAAAAACATGCCTTTAGCATGTTTAACAATTTTTCTCAGGTTAGCTCATAATTTTTTATTAGAGTTCAATGTTTCATCACATTAATTCAACAAAGAAATTGATTGCGCATAGATCTTAAGTATTTGCGCAAGGCCTTCAAAAATTGCCCCTTGGGGGCTTGTAAAAAGTAAAATCACAAAAATACTGAACTCCAAGGTAAATTCAAAAAGGAAAGTCCCTAATCAAATTGCAAAATCAAAAGCTCAAACACATCAAACGAATGGATAACAACTGTCATATTCCTGACTTGGTACAGGCATTTTCTTATGTAGAAAATGGTGGATTAAAGCTGGTTTTAAAGCTAGCTAAACCTCTCACTTGTATGACAGTCGCATCAAATTCCATTATATTGACAATGATGTGTGAACAAAACAAACACAGTAGGTAAAAATGTCACAAATAGGGGTACAACAGCAACACGAACCCCACCAAAAACTGGGGGTGATCTCAGGTGCTCCAGAAGGGTAAGCAGATCCTGCTCCAAATGAGCAGTGTTCTGAAGATAATAGACAAATGAAATTTTCATTGTCCATGAAATTAGACTTAAATGATTAGTAAAGACATCTGCAAAGGACAGATAATAAAAAATTCTATTAGAGCAAAGAAGTCCTAAGAATTCAAGTAAAGAAGATAGGATGACTTTTTTACTTGTATAAGAAAAAAAATCTGAATGTCTAAGGGACATAACTAAGCCAAAAAATTATTTACCTACATGTTTACAAGTAAACAAAATACACTTGTATAAGTATCCTACAAATTTACTTATATAAGTATATTAATATTTACTTTTTCAAGTAAATAAAAATTACTTGTACAAGTACATGTAGTACCCCTGACTGATAGTTTCAATCCCCAACCCAAAAAATAAACCAGTTATTATCATGTACATGTACCCCTAATTTTTCCATGCCATGTACAAAATGTATATTATACATGGCATGTATATCATGTATATTATACATGTTATACATGTACAGTAAATTATTTTCATTTAAATCATACAATTTATCTTGAAATTTTACCTGTTTCCTGTGAGAGAGAAAAAGTCTTTATCCTAAAATAGCTTTATCCTTACTAGCTTCCAGCCCTTTAGAAATTTAAATTTAAATTCATCCACAATGACCAGTTGGCAAGTACAGGTTCAGCTCTAAATGCAACTCGCCTTTCGTTTATCATGTTTATAGACATGCATTTCCAATAAATATTAGAATAATAAAATTTAACTTATCATGAATTTTGAAATACATGCAATGCCAATGAAACTATATAGGTTCATTTGAACCTTTATTTTTCTATTCATGTATATTATTTTGATAGATATTTTATGATATTGGTGCTATTGAACCACTGAAAACTGTAGCTAGTAGTCCCAATGCCACAGCATCAAAACTTGCAGCCCAGGCCTTAAAGATCATTGGAGAAGATGTTCCACACAAGCTTACACCTCAAGTACCTGTCTGGAACACAGAGGATGTAGCACACTGGATCAAACAGGTACTAGAGTAGCACTTACATATATTATCATGTACATCAATATCTACCTTGTCTACAATGCATTTATAAAAATAAAAAAAAAAATTATGTATGGACCAATTCACTCACAAAATGAACAAAAGAAATCACAAATGTAAAGTTTGGTTGTTTATAATTTCAGACCTGAATCAGAAGTGGTTTGTAGTTCCTTTCTAAGTCAGTGGCATTTCTTTACAGTACTTGTTTTCCTAACTAAATTTTCAGAATCTGTCAATACTGTGCATCTTTATATTACTGTAAATTCAGAAATTATTACATGCATTTATTATAATGATTTTTGAAAAATGGACAAAATGTGAGATTAATTATTGTGATTTCAGGAAAATCTGCATACAGATATATGCACATGAGTATGGCTATACTCACTCAGTCGCATTATGAAAATTAATCAAAACCTCACAATAATTTCTGAATTTTCAGTATATAATTATTACAAGATCTTCTTTCAATTCATCTTCATCATATGTTTTATTTTGTCTTTGATTTCAAGAATGTGGTCTTTCCTCATGTTCCTTGGTTTTGGGCCTTGAATAGAACTTATATAAGTATATCCAATACTTGCACATATATAATTTATGGCAAGCCGTTTTACTCTTTATTCTAACTTCAAGATATCTAATAAACTTTATAAGATATCTCATATAGTTTATAAAATATCTCATATAGTTTATAAGATATCTTATATAGTTTAAATAGGTATCTTATAAATTTTAAAGTTTATAAGATATCTTATGAACTTTATAAGATATCTTATAAACTTTAAAAGATATCTTATAAACTTTAAAAGATATCTTATAGACTTCAGAAGATATCTTATAAAGTATATAAGATATCTTATAAAATTTATAAGATCTCTTATAAAATTATATATAAGATAACATATCTTAAAAAGTTTATAAGATATCTTATAAAAACTAGATTATATAAGATATCTTATGTATTATAGGAAATATCTTATGTTATATGAGATATCTTGAATTTGGATAAATAGTAAAACGGCTGGCCATAATAATTGGTTACATTGTGAGGGATGATCTGTCATATAAATTCTTAGTTTACTTTAAAAAAGAGGTATGATATGACATGTTAGAGCAATTATCTCGGCTCTGAAATAGCAAAATTAGTAAAATTTCAATCCTTTAAATTATGGCCATTTTATGGATGAACAAATAAGATGAAATAATCTAAACTCAAAAGTACAGAAATGTCAGTTATGATGTCACTATGATCATGTGATGATGTCTTAATTAGGTCAAATTGAACTGAAACAGAGATTTAACACAATGTTTTTGGCCAAATTAAATTTGAGCCTCATCCTTTTACTTTCACTATAAAAATATTTTACCTACATTAACATCTCTGAATAACACATCTCGAAGTTAAATATCTTCTTGTGTAAGGCTTTGGCACATATCTAAATATTATTTATGTTGAGGCTTTGAGAAGTGAATTACCAAAGATATCAAAGGAAATTGGGTAATTAATTAAACAGAGACTATTAAAGGTCTGCCTTCGTCACCCAATTCCAGCAATGACAAAAACAAATGAACGATAGATAAAATAAAAGACAACAACTGATGAGATTCCTGACTTGGGAAAGGAACAGAATATTTGGCCAGATTCAAATAATTTACAATACATGTATAACATAGTACAGGAAAAACACTATACTCAATAATTACAGTATAATAATAAAGATTAAAAAAACAACTGTACAAGCAAAATGATAATAAACATTCTCTTATGGTTATGGCCTGTTATCTAGTTCTCGCATGAAGAGATATTTGTTGTATCACACTATACAGAGTGTGATAAGAAAAAGTGATACAAAAAATGTGTTAATTTGATTGGCTTATCCAGCATAATGAAACAGTATCTCTGACATTTACATTTGGTCATTAATGACTTTCAAAGGTCAAAACAATGTTCATTTCCTCCATGGCAACTTAGATTTATGATTTCTTCAATAATATACAAAAGACTCATGCTTTGCACCTGAAAATTGTTATTTTGTCAGATTTTATTACATTCTGAAGTTTGCAAAAAGTTTTTAAATTGCTGATGTTCAAGTTTGACGCCGTAACAGGACATATGATATCATACTGGTATGTGACTAAACCAAGGAATCGCTGACTTTTCTATTTAACACAAAGAGAATGTTTATACCATAAGAGAAATAGGTTTAACAACTCTTTGAGAATTCGATTTTATTTTATTGAAATTAAATAACTTGAGTTGATGTCAAGCAATATCCTATTCTCACTCGTTATGAAATCTATAAATAATGTGTTAAAGAATACTAGAATTCTGATATCAGGTGATGTACTTCAAAGTAGGTTTTATACAACAACGTAAAAAAAACTGCAGAAAGACAAGATGACTAAAAGACTATGTATTGCTCATCATCATGACCTTAATGTGACCTTGACATTTGACATAAAGGTTACAATGAATCATTTTTGGGGACATTTTCAAATGCATGTGTAATGAGATTGAAGTCCGAGTGGTGTCTGTAAGGTATTTATAACATGCTACTTGTTAGCAGGTTGGATTCAAAGACTATGTGGATGCCTTTGTGAGCTGTCGAGTAGATGGAGATATTCTCTTACTGTTAACTGAAGATGAACTCCAGAATAGTATAGGAATGACATGTAAAATAGCAAGAAAAAGGTTGGTTGTACTAACAGTAGACATAGGAAAGTAAAGTACTTCAAGAATACAAAGTCAGTTATTATTTCACCATATCACAATTAATGCATTGTGGGTAATAATTTCAAACATTGTCAAAAGTGTACACAAAAAAATTGTAATTGGTAATTAACATTTAACAACTTCCTAAAACAATTGAAATTAAACCAATGATGTAACCCTATTTTCACTTTAAAATTTGGTATACAAACAATGGAATTACCCATAATCCTAATTATGAAATGGCAAGTTTGCATAAACATGTTCCAATAAGTGTATATGTTTCTGCTCTACAAATATTACTCTGTATCATCAGTCTGAAACTATATATGCTTTAAAAATCTTGTTACATGTATATTAAAAGACATGCACAGTCAGATATACTATATTTCAATTTTATATGACTGTTTTCACATAAATATTTGAATATATTTTTATCTGTTTGCATTTTGTGACACCTATAGAAATATTTTTAAATGTTTTTTACACATTTAAAAAAAGGTTATTCAAATTCATAACATTGAAATTACATGTGGTCGAATGATTGATAGTTGTTTGCTTATAATTATTGTTGCAAAAAATGTGAATTATTGATTGATTGATTGTTGGTTGTTTAACATACAATGGCAAACAAAATGTAATGAAAGAAACTTATACAAACATAACGAAAAACACAAATCAGAAATCAGTGAATATTAATTTCATAAGCTTTAAAATGAAAAGATATCAGGTGGATTTCTTATTTCATGCTTTTTTAATCTGATAAACATTTACCAGCTACTCTTGCTAAATTATCCACTAAATATATAATTCCAGAAATATTATTACTCCCTTATTTTTGAAAAAGGAAATTAAACTACTAGTTAAACAATGATATGGAAATAAAATAATATTCAAGAAATGATTGTTGTTTTTTATAGATTTTTAAGGGAGTTGAAAGGTCTAAAAGTAACAGCTGACTATTCATCATGTGATCGTAGCCAGATAGATAGCTGGATGATGAAAATATTACCTGACCTTTCACAATACACTTACTGTATGCTGAAGAATGGAATGAGTAAAGAATTATTGTCTACTACTAGTCATGAAGAGCTGAAGGAATGTGGAGTTACTAATCCTATCCATCGTAGGCTCATATTGGAACATATTGATGGTAACTTTGTTATATATGAGTAAAAGGAGACATTGAGTATACATTAATGAGACAGCAACAGAGCAACACAAACAATGAACAATTTAAGATATTTATATGGTCTTCAACAAGCTCTGGCCCTAAGTTGCCATTTATAGATGAATTGTGAATAGATTTAACAGATGATACTAAAGATCTGTCATCCACAATCATTCAAAAGAACACTAAGATATAAATAATGATGATGATGATGATGGATGGCTGCTTAACTTCCAGCGGCAAATTAATATGCATATTTAGGACGAGAACATGTTAATTTAGCCCTGCTTTGTACTAGACTGACACGCTGAGTTGGATTTTTAACGTGCTAGTTCACTAGGTAACAGTCTGCAGGAAGACATGTCACCTTACCAGGACACATTATTCTGACTCCAAGCTTACCAGTCTCTGCTCTTACTTCTTAATGCCGCGTGCTTAGCAGAGAAGTAGCAAATACCAATTTTAAAGTCTTTGGTTTGACCCGGGCTAGTTAAACCCACGACCTCACGCACTCGAGGCGAACTATAAATTATGACAAACTTGACAAGGTACCTGAATCAGTACATGCATATGAACATACAGTGGGGTCAAAACTAATTTTTGGGTACTCAACCTTTACTCTTTTTTATATTGATAAGTGGAACAACAAAATAATGGAAAAAACTACAAGAAAAATTCAGATGTTGAAAGGGAATTAACTCTATAATGTCAGTATTACAGACTTAAAAAAAAAAAAAGTACAATAAATAAATAAAAGTGTTCTAAAAAATCCCTGCAGTTATTGAAATGTTTTTTTTTAGATTGTAAACTAGAGAAAGAGGTTCAAATTCCCCATCCTTGTAAAATACAAACAAAAATGATATCTGGAGGTTTATACATGGATGATACACGATCGTTAACAATAGAATTGTATCTATACCATTCATCACACAGTTAATCTATCAAACTCAAGACAAATTGTGAATAAATTTTATCAACTATGGATTCATTTATTTTCATGGATACCAAATTTTGGAATTTTTGTATTTTTGTGGATTGATGGAAAATTGTTTTTTTGTGGATTGATGGAAAATTGTTTTTCTGTGGATATTTGATTTAAAGATTTTTCCAAAGTCAGCATAATATGTCAATAGAAAATTTGTACTTCGTTGTACATTTAAATTCGTGGTTTACTTTTACCCATGATATCCAAGAAAATTGGTATCCCACGAATAATAATGAATCCATGCCATCATCACAACATCGTATTCTGAAACAAGCTCACTGAGGTATAATAAAAAACATATGTTTATTTATGGATTCTTTTGTAGATTTGTACTGTTCTTTACCTAAGTATGGTAGTTTTAACAGTTTACAGCGACAGAAGAGTGTTGATGTATCCAGTATTTCTACCCTTCCAAAGGCTGTGGATGTGTTTATAAGTTATAGACGATCAACAGGATCACAGCTAGCCAGGTACAACAGACCTACCATAGTGAGGTTGAGGGATCTTAGTAGACACATATTAGCAAAACCTAATTGATTTTGAATTGATGTCTCTCAAGCAAAGTTGATTATCTTTTTACCTATACCTTTTGTTATTTTCCAAACTTTTTTTTTTTTTTTTTTTTAAGCTCACAAAACGTTTAAAAGTATCCAGTTTTGAGATAAATTGATCTGATGCATGTATATTGAACTTTTAGATCCAGAGATCTGGAGTCAATTGACTAAATATGACTATATTCTTCAAAAGGAATGAGATGTAGAGTCTCAGTAATTTGACCAAATGCATTTAATAAAATGTTATGTCATAACTATACCAGACCCTACGAATATAGAATATCAAGTCCCAAAAATACGACAAGCAAATGTAGAGCCCCAATTATAAATTTAAAATGTTGCTTCAAAATTATTTTCAATTCATCACTCGGCTCAACAATAACGCTTGTCCTATTGTCCAGTACCCAATACAAGATTGGTCTTACAAGTAAATGCCAGCATTCCCAAGTGAGTGCCCACAGACATGTATTACCCTGTCACATTTTTTTGTTCGAGCCTGCGACTTTTGTCGCAAAAGCGAGACATAGCGATCCTACATTCTGTCATCAGCGTCGTCGTCGTCGTCAGCAGTGTCCACAAATATTCACTCTGTGGTTAAAGTTTTTGAAATTTTAATAACTTTCTTAAACTATCCTGGATTTCTACCAAACTTGGACAGAAGCTTGTTTATGATCATAGATAGTATCCAGAAGTAAATTTAAAAAAAAAATCCTGTTTATCCGTATTTTACTTATAAATGGACTTAGTTTTTCTTCCAGTTAACATTACATTCATTCTGTGGTTAAAGTTTTTTAAAATTTTAATAACTTACTTAAGCTATCCTGGATTTCTACCAAATTTGGACAGAAGCTTGTTTATGATCAAAAGCTAGTATCTAGAATGAAATTTTGTAAAAATTTATTTCCTATTTTTCCGTATATTACTTATAAATGGACTTAGTTTTTCTTCCAATTAACATTACATATTGTCTGCAGTTAAAGTTTTTAAAACATTTATTAGATTCATAAACCATCCTGGATTTTTACCAATCTTGGATAGAAGCTTCTTACAATCGAACGATAGTATCTAGAGGAAAATTTTTAATAATTTTTTCCCCATTTTTGTTGAGCCTGCGACTAACAGCAAAAGTAGGCGAGACACTGGGTTCTGCAGAACCCTTACGAATTTTATGTGCTTCCAACTCCCAAATCGGGAGCCTGTAATTCCGTGGTTGTCGTGGCCTCATAATTGTCCTATTTGGGTTTTTTTCATGCTTTGGTATAAATCAAGCTGTTGGTTTTCTCATTTAAATTATTTTACATTTTGTTCTCTCAGGACCCTTATAATTGATTGTATATATGGTATGGGTTTTGCTTATTGTTGAAGATAGAGCTTTCACCTATAGTGAAACATCCACATCCTTGGTTTCTGGTGGATAGATGTCTCATTAGCAAGTATACCACATTTCCTTATTTTTATAATGATCATGGCAATCAGAAAATTACTTGAAAGAAAAACCATTAAAACTTAAATTTATGATTTTGGTAAACAGTTTACTATATATGTCAGATACCTGTTTCTTATTATACATAATATGTGGAGAGGGGCGGAGCAAATTAACACTGTGAACGAGGTTTACTGATAGGAATCATCTATACAATACATAAAAGGGTTACACTAAAGACCTGAATGTTGACCGAAAAGTATAGGCTCCAACATGGTCAAATCTGACCTGCTACCATGGGGATTTGGCTGGCTACCTGATGTCTCATTTTAAAGTACTTGTGACCTTCACAAATTTTAATAACTGAGAATAAGTTTAGGCAATTTTTAAAAGGTAAGGGGGTACCTCACAGGATCCATACATGTAAATATACTCAAATTCTTAAACTTTTTTTATTTTATGATGGATTTCCTTAATATATGCCTTCTGTTAAAGGAGAACATTTATAGTTCATCAAAATCACTTTTTTTTAAAATGACACATATTTTTTATACCAAAATTTGGATTTTAAGGGAAAGTGAAAAAAACGTAAATAGACCTGAAAACATATGAAAGTTATTTGCCATGCTTGGAAAGTTGAGTACCTGGCCTTTGATATGCAACTTTTACTGATGACGAAGGGAAAGTTTATAAATCCAAGCATGCAAAGACAGTCAAGTTAAATGGAGGACTTTTCTGTTGAATATTTTATTTGAGTTTGATAACTTTTATTATACTTTTTGCACTAGCTACAATTCCATTCTTATAATTAACATTTAGTTACTACTTGTCTAATGGAACAAGTGCACTATAAAGTTATTGTAGAGACCTGATGTCAACAAAAAGCAACTCATTCATTGTAGTCATTTATAAATCAAGTAACATTTAGATTAACAGTTATTTCCCTTTGACAGGAAATTTTCTTTTTATGCACCAACTGTAAAATGAGCAAATACTTTTAAAATACTACAGTTTAATCGTCTGTTGGAATTTAAATTTTGATGTATTACAAAGTAGGATAGACATTATTCCCCTTCAAGCATTATTTATGCAATGATATTTCATTTTAATCCAATACAAAAATGAAATTGAGTGTTTACAGTTGTGTGGAAGTTGATCCAGTGAAATGAAAAAAAAAGATTGAATTTAAAGAGAAAAATCATATAGCAATATGTTATTTGAATGTTGAAATGAGGAACAAAAAATATATAATCAACTTTCCTTGACCTTAGCTTTTTCTTCTTTGTAATTTAGATGTGCTAGTATACTGTTTTTGAATTGTTTTATTGAATAGGATTGAACTAAAAAACTAATCTGTCTTTTTCTTTGGCCAAGAAGATTTGAACTTGGCTACTATCTATATTTAATCTTGAATATCTGTTGTTGTATTTAAAATTCCAAAAGGTTACATAGTTCTCATTATTATAGTGAAAACAATTCTTCTTTTTTTTTTAAATGTTTTGGCTTCTAGCTTCCTTCAGTTCCTATGTCTTTTACTCAGCTACATTGTAGATAAGTGGCATTTTACAAATAATTTAGATTTACCAAGCATGTGACCATTGAACATAGAAACACAAGAGGCATATAGGCCAAAACATCTGAAAAAAAAGCTTATAACACATCAATTATCTAAATCTACCTCACAAAAAAAAAGGGACCAAAAGAAAATATTTACATTTCAGTCCATCATTAATGTGTAAATACACACATGATTGGTTTCTTTGTCATGTTATTCTTATGCTAGACCTTTTTAGTTAGAATCATTTGGTTTTTGTCGGGAGACTGAGGTTGTGGTTTTGTTTTTTCAGAAGTTTTAGACAACTATATTGAAATAAATGTCCATATGCATTAACAGAATATTCCATTTGCCTTGTGTAATACTGATATTATTGATTATTGTGATTTTATTGACATATCTCTGTTTTGCACTTTCCTGTGTACTTTTTATTGTACTGTTGATTAAGATAAATAGAGCTATAGTTCAGTTATAAAAACTAGTTTAACACTGTAAGTTAACCTGTTCCAGATCAGGACCTTTGGAATGGTCTTTTGATGCAAGATCTTTGGTGTTCTCTTAAAATAATTCACATCTTGTTTCGACTTTTAGCTATTTAGAGCTCCTATTTGACATGTGGCATGGACACTTGTATAAGTTACCTTATGTTAACCGTAAGATAACTGTTTTAGGTTTGACTGTGTTGATGGGTTTCTGTCTCATTGATGTTTACCTCCTATCTCCTGTAATTGATGTGTATCTTCTCTAAAGAATCTACTTGATTCTACATGAAAGTTTGAAGTTTGTGAAATTTTGTATGACACAAGACTTAAGCTTAAGTAAACTCTAGATTTATCTTTCTTTGCATGTGTTGATTGGTTGGTGTTTTGTTGATATAAATCCATTATCCCCATAAATTCATATCAATAATATTCAGAATTTCTTGTCCATGAAGTACACTTGGAAATTTAACATCTGATTAGAGCAAGACTAAAATAGATGGAAGTTTTTTGTACATTGATGCTATCCTTTATTGCAAGTTTGTACTTACATAAATTATTCCTGCATTATTCCTATTATTTGAAAACAAACACTTTTTCATTTTATTTTTGCCAACAACAACAAAAATTTTAAACGTGTATTTTGATATTCTAAATAACTTTAATAGATGTTGCCTTTCAGTAAAATCAATGAGATGACAAATAAAAGACAAGTTTTAAGTAAAATCTATAGGTCGCTATATAGCCTTCATTGATGGGCAATATCCAAGCCATATGACTTTAAATTTAACTATAAAGAACAAGTGTCCTATTATTCTCACAAATGACCTCAACATAGATGTCTGAAGGTCAGAAATCATTACCAAGTTCAACCAAAAAACAAAAACAAAACTTAAAAAGAACAAAAGCAGAAGACAAGATTCCTGACATGAGTCAAGATAGGTTGATAAATTTATATAATGATAGTTAGAGCAAAGACTGCTCAGCTCGAAGTCAGAATAATGTGTTCCATAGGGTGAAATGTAAAAATGATGTGCTAAAATATGTTATGAAAATGAATATGATACAACAGTATAAGAAATATCAAACCACATCTGCATGAAAAACTGTTTTTTATCATACAACACATTAAAGAGTGCATACTGGTACTGACAATACTGAACACTTATGTATTTCTACAATTTAGTATGGTCTGTGAAGTGTTTTGTAAACTTGTTTGTTATTATTTCTATTTTTTTCTTTTCCCCATGGTGCTGTCTATATTACTTCAATTGTGTTTTTATTGCCTTCATTGTATTTTCTCCCTCCCTTTTTAGGTTCTAAGAAGTGTTTTCACTTAATAAATCTTCAGAGGCTACTGTAACCGGAGAGCACGCTGCTCTTTAGAAAATCACATTGTTTACTCTCGGGATTTGAACCTTGAAATCTGTGTTTCAAGTCAGCACTCTAATGGACTGAGCTAAAGAAGAACTTCCCTAGATCAACTGCTTATGGCTGGCTAACTAAGTATCTACCACTCAAGGGAAGCAATCTTTCCACACTTGCCCTCAAAGAGTCATCATACCACTATGACTCTCGGAAAACATACCCTGGCTAGATATCCTCTCTGACCACTGTAGGTTTTTTAGTTGGGCACCAAATGTAAGATATAGCATGATTCTCATTAGAAAATCATATTGACACCTCTAGGACTCGAACCCTGTGTTACTAGTCAGGTCTCTAATTGACTGAGCTAAAGAAATACTTCCCAAGCTCAACAGCTAAGAATCTACCACTCAAGGGAAGCAATCCCATCACAATACAATAGTATACAAGGTCATAGAAAATTGATTGTCCCTGTGCCTGGCTGTGTTCTATGTTTGATTGGACATTCTTTCTGCAGTACATTTTTATACATTTATACTATCTGGTGGCTATTAGATTTATTAAAAGGTACCAAAATGCCCCTTTCAACCAGCAATATACCTTCAAAATTGCAAACCTGATCTGTTTTCTGTGAAGGTTGAACTATGAAATTCTAGGACCTGTTTCTAATACAGTGATTTACAAATAACTGTATAAGGTCCTACATGTAATACAAATGTACCCATAAAGATACACATGCACAGATATAATACACATATACTCATATAATAAACAGTAGGTCAACAGAGCTAATGGTCAAAATAACAAAGCAATTTAAGGAAAGTAAACAACCAACATGGACCAATGAAATATGCAAAGTTAAAAATCAAAGTTTGGCTTTGCCTAAAATTCTACTGCAGCATTTACAAAAATCAATTTGTCTCACATTATTCATGTTATTGTTTTGCAGGTATGTTTAAATTGATACACATTATCATAGGAATTTACAGTTATTTATCACAAGTAAATATGGTTTTATATCAAAGTAATTGCCATCAAAAGTATAGGACCATGAAGGCCTAAACTTGGTCTAAAGATTGAACTATTTCATCACCAATTTGAAAACAAGTACTGTAAATTCAGAAATTATTGTGTGCATTTATTATTGCGATTTTTGAAGAAGGACATAAATGCAGGATAAATTATTGCGATTTCAGGAAAAGCTGCATAAAGATATATGCATCAGATATCAGAATGCAAATTCTTGTTATTTGCGATAATCACAGAGAAGCATTATTCGCCTTAATAAAAACCTCGCAATAATTTCTGAACCTACAGTATCAACAGTATCAAAAATATGCAAATTTAAATAAACCAAACATTTTTTGTTTTTATGCCCCACCTAGGGGCATTATGTTTTTCGATTTGTGCGTCCGTTCATCCGTCCATCTGTCCCGCTTAAGGTTAAAGTTTTTGGTCAAGGTAGTTTTTGATGAAGTTGAAGTCCAATCAACTTGAAACTTAGTACACATGTTTCCTATGATACGATCTTTCTAATTTTAATGCCAAATTAGAGTTTTGACCCCAATTTCACAGTCCACTGAACATAGAAAATGATAGTGCCTGCTTCAGGTTAAAGTTTTTGGTCAAGGAAGTTTTTGATGAAGTTGAAGTCCAATCAACTTGAAACTTAGTACACATGTTCCCTATGATATGATCTTTCTAATTTTAATGCCAAATTAGACTTCTGACCCCAATTTCACAGTTTCTAGTTAAAGCCACATTGTGTTGTTCAAATGTATTTTAAAATTTCCTTCTCAAAAGTATTATCTACAACCTTCAATCAAAATGAACTTATTACAGAAAGATTCTTTAGTCACATTTTTTACCCAAATTATGTAAGTCTACAATGGTCTATGGATGTGGCCAAAGTAGTCTGAAGCAAAAACTGTCCCAATTTAGGCAAAAATGAGTTAAATTGTTATTTTCATCATAAAATTGCACAATAATGACATCAAAATGGCATAGTTTGCTGATGAAAGGTATCAAAGCTTGTTAATTTTGTATTATCAATTAGCCAAATAATTTTACATGTCTTTTTTATCAAATGTTTTAGTTAATGATAATTACTAAACTTGAATTTCTTCAAATATTAGGGTCATTATTGAAAATATTCTTATTTAACTGCAGTTAGACAGAAAACCATTTCATTATAAAATGTACATAGAAGTAGTCCTTACTTTGATTGCAGTTTATTGAAAGTACATCTACAGCTACGAGGATTTACTGTGTTTCTGGATATAGACAGATTAAGAGCTGGAAAGTTTGATGAAAACTTGTTACTTAATATTAAAATGGCTCGCCATTTTCTCCTGGTACTTACACCAAATTCCTTAGACAGATGCTTTGGAGACCATGAATTAACAGACTGGGTTCATAAGGTAAGAAAGCAAAGATTAAAATGTCATATACTGTGGATACATTTCATGGATACTAATTTTCATGGATGAAGGAAAAATTATATGTTCGTTGATACTTTTGCAAAAGTCTGTATACACACCTATAGGAAATTTGTACTTCGTTGAACATTAAAAGTCGTGATTCATCAGGCCTACAACCATCAAGTACACAAATTGGTATCAAAGGAATAATAATGAATCCACAATATTTGCATGTCTGGAGTTCACTCCTGCTGATGCTGAAATGTTGCCGTCTATTCTACAAAGATTGGTTTAAAATGAAAAATGCTTCATTTTATTTAAAGGTTGCACTGTTTCTTTTAAATGTTACCAAAAATGAGATCTCTGACAACACAGTTCTAGGTAGAACTAAACATGGCTACAAGCATCCTAATGATGTTTAATTTCAATATAAAAATATCTGTGATGTTACCAACCAACTTATCAACCACCATGACTACCATAACCATAAAAATCTAACCTGAAATTTTTCTCTTATTTATCATTTTAAACACCAGTCATTCAAAAGATCCTAGATTGGATCCTGACAGTAAGCCAATTATTATTCTATTATGGCTTCATTAATATTTGCAGGTAATGTTTTGAAAATGATTGAAAGATTGTTTCTGTAAAATTGATTAAAATGATAAAAATATTTCTAGAATATAGCAATTCCATTTAGATATGAAATGTTTTGTGCTGTTTGACTATTAACAGATACATAAATAAGGCTTAAAACATATAAAATAAATCCTGCTGAGTAGTTTGATCAGTTTAATATTTCAGTATAAAAGTATTTGGTATATGGGATCCTTGCAAAGTCGACATAAAATTGAGAATGGAAATGGGGAATGTGTCAAAGAGAAAACAACCCGATCAAAGAGCAAAAAACAGGCAAAGGCCACCAATGGGTCTTCAACACAGCGAGAAAATCCCGCACCTGCACTAGTTCAATGAAAATGGACGTCACACTAAACTCCAAAACACATAAATGAACTAAAATTAAAAAACATACAAGACTAACAAAGGCCAGAGGCTCCTGACTTGGAACAGGCGCACAAATGCGGCAGGGTTAAACATGTTTTGTGAGATCTCAACCCTCCCCCTATACCTCTAGCCAATATTAAATAAACAAACACACAGCAGTACACACAGTAAAAAGTTTAAAAGAAGTCCTAGTCCGATGTCGGAATAGGTAACAAAAGAAACTAAGCAAAATGACAATGATACATAAATTAACAAAGGACTACTAGCAGTTACTGACATGCCAGCTCCCGACCTCAAATAAACTGATCAAAAGATTATGTCTTCATCATATGAAAATCAAGCACAATCCCTCCCGTTAGGGGTTTAGTATCATACCATCATAAAATATATGAGAACATAACCCGTATCATGCCAACAACTGGTTTTAGAATAAATGTGTTTATTTCCAATGCAAAGACCCTATGAGTGAATGTCTGTCAGACAGGTCTGACCTGACCTCAACCTCATTTCATAGATCAGTGACCTAGCTAGGTTAAGTTTTGGAGGTCAAGTTTGTTCTCAGATACTATAATTTAAGCAATAGGTCAACTATATTTGATGAATGTATGATTGTAAGGTGTACATGTCAGACTGACATGTTTCATCTAACTGTGACCTTTTTTCATGGTTCAGTGGTCAATGTTAAGTTTTCATGGTTTTGTCAGTTTATCATATATACTAATAGCAATAGGCCAATTATATTTTGTGTATGGAATGATTGTAAGACATGTCTGTATGTCATTGTTTATCTGACCTTTTATTTTTTAAGACTATCAACATAAATTGAAATAATGATAAGTAAAGCAGGCGAGACATTTCAGCGTGATCACTCTTGTGCGATATAAGTAGAAACATTTGTTTTAAGGATGGTTAATTAGTTGACATTCGTCTCTGTTGTCAGCACTTTTTGCAAATATTCAGTAAATGTTTTTGTGACTTCAGTTTTTATGTCTGTCATGCAGAAGTAGGAAGGTTTTCCTTATTTTTAAAGTCCTTTGATCATTACATGGGTAGTGTAATCCAGTGTTACATTATTTTTGCAACATTGTACCTTTTAAAGGGACATTACCAGTCTAATTTAGTTCTAATATACAACCTTATGCTAGAAAATTACCAACATGAACATTTGCATAATTTGTATTTTTAGGAAGTAGTAACAGCATTAGATAGTGATTGTAATATTATACCTGTGTTAGACAGTTTTGATTGGCCAACAGCTGAATCACTTCCTGAGGACATGCAGCAAGTTGTTTACTTCAATGGAGTCCGGTAAGATTCATAAATATCTCTAAACTACTTCAATGGAGTCCTGTAAGATTCATAAACATCTCTATACTATACCATACTGAAAAGAAAAGGTGGAGGGTTACATACTGCAAATTCAGAAATTGTTTATGTCAATTTATTGCAATTGTTGAAAAATGGATACAAGATTAGTTACTGCAATGTCAGGATATGCTGCATACAAATAATGCTATCAAAATTTAAATTGGTTTTTATTTTTGCAAAATACCTATCCTGTCGTAATTTTTGCAATCATCAAACACTGCAAAATGTTCTGACTTTACAGTATGTTACTGCTTTAACAGAGATACACATTGAATTATTCACCAACTAGTCAAGATCTTTCCCAAGTGAAATTAGATTAATAAAATAAACTCATTCAAAGGAAATGTGGATGAGTCAAAGATGACTAGGCCAATAGCAAGATAGTCTGAGGTAAGCTGGAACTGCCTGAAATACTTAGATGTAAGTTTCCAGTTTTACATATGATTGATTGAATTTACATTGTATCCATGTCATTTCTACATATGTCCTATCAAATGTAAAATTTGAACTTGAAAAATAAAGCTAACTTTATATTATTTGAAAGAGATGCATGATGATTATACTTGTGTTTCTACACAATATGAAAATGACATTGAATTCCTGTTTATCAACATGTTATACCTCTCAGTACTGAAATGCAATTTTCAAGCACCATTATCAAATTTGTGCAATATGATCTTTGGTGGTTTCTAGACAACTTCTTTTCATGACTATGCTATGTTTTTCTGGTCTCTGCACATGTACATCTGTACATAAGTCCATCTTGTTTTAGGTTAAAGATTTGATTTTAGGTAGTTTTCCTTGACGTTGTGGTCACATGAACCTGACACTTGTGTTCTTTCAACTTCATACTTTATTTCGCCGTTTAAATTTTTTGTTTGATTTGAGGGTAACAAAGGAGTCTTTCGTAGATGAAAAATGTGTCTGGCCTATAAAATTATAAACTTACCTGGTATCTTTGGTGAGTTTTTTAGTACACATGTTCATTAGGATACACATGTTCATTAGGATGTGAAAATAAAAGGAACATATGCCAAGTAAGGGATTTAACCAGATTTCACAGTTCACTGAATATTTAAAGGTGATTTGTACATTCTCAGTGAAAGTTTTTGGTTTAAGGTAGGCTTCCATGATGTCATGCTTATATCAACTTGAAATTTAGTACACATGTTCATTAGGATGTAAACATTAAAAAATATATGCCAAATTATGGTTTGACCCAGATTTCCTATAGCTAGTTCACTGAACATTGAAATAATGATAGTACTAGTAGTTCCTGGTGTCATATAGACACATTTTCATGTTATTTTTTTATTGGCACTTCATATTATTTAATTTATCAGTAAAGAAAACATTATAATGCCAAATACATACATCATGTCTTCATAGTTTTATATGAAATTAGTTATTCAAAACTAGAAAATTATTAATTTAGAGTTAAAAAGGTGAGGATTCATTTTGGTGGACTATTTTTGATGCATTTAGAAAAAGGTGCCAAGAGTCAATAATTACCATTGTTCATCAAATACTTTAGATTGACATGAAAACATATATTTTTATAGTACAAGATTTTTTTTTGCTTCTACCCACACAATCTGTAGACTTTGACACTTATATATATATATAATGATAATACTATTGGCTGTTGCAAATCTCTTTAGTACACAAAAGCAAATTGCATGTTTATAGCATATATAGATGTTGCATGTTATGTGAATTTTTATATTTTTTTTTGCATTGAGAATATCTTGAATTTTTAAAGCTCATCAAGAAAAATCTTTATTTGAAAGAAAAACAGACGATACTTTTGTACATTTTCTTTGTTGCTTTTATTGTCATCACATCAGTTATCATAAAGTCATCATTACTCTTTGTCATCTGAGATTTTGATATTGTTCTTACTGCTAGTCATGATCTGATATTTCATGTCAGTTTAGCCATAATCAACCTTAGCAAGAATACTTTACTATTAATACTTTTTTAGTTTATCAGCTCTTCAAGTTTTTAATAAGTTTTGGATTTTCAAACATTTTGGCCTCGAGCATCACTGACTGAAGAGACATTTATTGTTGAAATGAGCATCTTGTGCAGTAAAATTGGTACCCTTTGTGTTATCATATAAATGATTTTATTAGATAGAATCTCCAATTTGCTGAAAAATATGACTCCCAATGCATTCTTTTTTGTTTGCAAATTTCAGATTTGTTTCTCCTTTGAATCTACTAGCTCAAATGCTTTTAAAATGAATGCCAACTATTATGAATTATAGATCAGATAGTTTGAGGTAGTTTATTTTCAGAAAAAGAAGTAGTAAAGTAATAGGTTTTATTTAATACAGTGATACATTTTGACATTGAGATAAGAAAAGCTAATGTATGGTTGTAATGCTCCATTATTTGCTCACTGTCTTGAAATCATCGTACATATGACTGTGTTCTTGTTGAAGATGTGAAGAGATACCTCTAAATTACATCACACAACAATATGAAAAGATTTATGACTGGTAATCTTAAATAGCCGTAAATTCAGGGCAAGATTTCTTTGACATCCCAATGGGCTATGTTGAGATATGGCTTAAAAATATGCAACATAGATCAAAATATGGAAATGTCTGACACATTGTTAGCGTCATATTGCATTTTAGCATTTAATCTCCTGTCCCTGGCAAGGCAAAAACCCAATCACATCTATATTGGCTAGTTTGACATTAGAGATGTATTGAACAACAATGAATCTAAAACAATTTTATCTTTTGACATTCTATCACTTCTTGCTTTGGGCTTTGCTTTGGTCATGTTACCCAGATCTACAGGTACTCATGCATGCTTTTGTTGTTGTGATTTCATTCTGACAAATCTGACTATTTTTCTTGTTAATCTGAATCTGAAATAAAAAATAGAAGCAATGACTTTGTGATGACCTCAATTTTTCTTCATTAGGACTCCTATCGTCATAAATTTCAATATTTTTTATTATGATAAACATAACATATTTGTCATTCTAACAGAATTAACAGATTTATCTTGAGTCAAGACCCCCAGACATTGCATTCCTCTCAAAGGAGCATAACACAAATATTGAAAACTCAAATTGCTGGAGTCTGAGATTAGTGTTCACATGAGCCATCATTTAATTTTCATATATAATTATGAAAGTTGTAGAATTAATATTTTGTAATTTTGTTAGGGATAACTGAGTAGCAATTTTCATTATTTTCAAAATTTACAACTGTCCACTTTTTGCCTGTAGATGGGTACATGACTATCAAGATGCCTGCATGCACAAGCTTGAGAACTTTCTAAAAGTTGGAAAGAGAACAACACAAATAGAATATGTATATGGCAAATCTCCAAGTCTGCTTGCTAACAAGTCTGACACAGATCTCCCTGCTAGCGAAGATAACATCAGTGAGACCTCCTCGAAGAAAAGCTTCAAAGAGCGATCTACTGGACTGTTTAATTCAATATGGGAAAATATAGTAGAAACATATTGATGAATATTTGTTTGATTGTTACTTTCTGAAATAACATTTTTGGAAAATTGGCTAATTTTTATAAGACTGCAAAAATTTTTTTGGGATCGTATAATGGTATGATGTCATCGTCGTCTGCGTCGTCGTCCGAAGACACATTGGTTTCCGGACAATAACTTTAGATTAAGTGAATGGATCTCTATGAAATTTTTTAAGAAGGTTCAATACCACAAAAGGAAGGTTGGAATTGATTTTGGGGATGATGGTCCCAACCGTTTAGAAATTAGGGGCCCAAAAGGGGCCCAAAACAAGCATTTTTCTAGTTTCAGGATAATAACTTGTGTATAAGTATTTTGATTGCTCTGAAATTGTACCACAATGTTAAATACCACAAGTGGAAGGTTGGGATTCATTTTAGGGGTTATGGGGCCAACAGTTTAGGAATTAAGGGCCAAAAAGGGGCCAAAAACAAGCATTTTTCTAGTTTCCAGACAATAACTTGTGTGTAAGTGTATGGATCTCTCTGACATTGTACCACAAGGTTCCATATAACAAAGGGAAGGTTATGATTGAGTTTGGGGTTAATTGCTCCAAACATGTAGGAATTAGGGGCCAAAAACAAGCATTTTTCTAGTTTCCAGACAATTACTTGTGTTTAAGTGTATGGATCTCTCTGAAATTGTAATACAATGTTCCATACTACAAAGGAAAGGCTGGGATTGAGTTTTGGGGTTATTGCTTCTTGGGGGGGGGGAGGGGATTTTTTTTTTCAATTTTTTTAAGGGATTCATATTTTTTTTTTCAAAATTTTTCAAATTTCAAATTTTTGAAAAGTTTCAAGAAGAAATCTTCAATTACACAGTATTGTGCAATAGATTTGTAAGATCTTTAACCACATTTATTTTGTGTCAGAAATCTATATTATGTCAAAAATTTGATCACAATCCAAATTCAGACAGTATCAAGCTTGAATATTGTGTTCAAATTTGCCCAAACTGTTCAGGGTTCGACCTCTGCGGTCGTATCAGGCTGCGCTCAGCGAAGCATTTTATTTGCATATGTGTAGAAATATGTACAATGACATATATTAATAAGCCATACAAACATGTTAGCCATCACTGTAGAGGAAAAGTTGTTTTTAATCCTACCACCATTTGACCACATGTGTGTTTCATGCACATAAAGCACTAGAATATAAGATTTGCTGTAAACGTTTTATCTTTATAGCCAATCATCATGAGACAGAGCAGTAAACATATAGTACAGTATTATAGAGGTTTTTTTTAAATTGCTGATTGAAATTTAACATTGTTTTATATATTTAATATAGGTGTGTTTAGTTGCATGTTTAAAACATGTTGGTTGTATATTTTATCATGAGCAATGCTTCTGTCTAAGTTTACACAACAAATATTTTTACATTGTTATGTATGAATGACTCTTAATAAGTGCCTGCCTTTTGTACAATGATGGTTGTTTGTGAATTGTTATTGTGATGAATCAGATGTACTATGTATTGAATCTTTCATAGTTTGAAGTAGGGATGAGTGCAATTTTAAGTTTTTTTTAAGAGATTTATTTATGCTTTCTATGCTTTATTAACACATTAGTCATATTTATATAAATTTTAGATATACAGTTGTATATATGTAGACTATTATACTAGAACTGTGTAATATATCAGTGTACTAAAGGTAATTTCAGTGCCATGTATCAATATGCATTTGATGAATTTTAATGAGGTGAATAGAAGGATTGAAAAAGGGGAAGTATTTAAGTAGAGAGTTTTATATTTACTGAGACTGTTCACTGAATGAATATGATCCCTTTTTGGGTTAACAAACCATGAAAAAATTGAATTAGTCAGTAAAGGTTTTATATTATGACACCTGTTGTTTGGCTAGCTTATTAGATGATACAAAACAAGATTTTACAATAATTTTTGCACTGATTTTGCTGTGTTCCAAGTGTTAAATGTTACATTCCTAGTTTGATACCTTGTCAAATAGCAAAAAAAGAAGGACCTTACCCAGCAGAAATCAAGTTGAAAGTGTCACACAGTAATAATTTCAAGTTTGAGACTGGTATTCATAGAATATACATTTTTTATGTTCTGGTATATAAAAATATGCAACAGTAGGTTACTGACGGTAAAATTTCATAAATTGAGTATGAAGATAAAAATCAAGGTAACAAACAAAAACTGAGAGATTCACAAAAGTAGCCAAACTGGGTGTATCCACAGGGTATATAAACAATGGTATTAGTAAAAACTTTAAAAAAAAAGTTTTTTTTTATTTTAAGACAAACATTTTTTTAAAGATGTAAGTGGTATTTTATCATGCTTTGTAAACATGAAACATAGATTATTTTTACATTTTCCTTGCTTTTAATACAAACAAGGAGATGTATGATTGTCATTGAGACAACTATTCACCAGAGACCAAATGACAAATAAGTTAAGAATTGAAAATTTGCAATAAGGATGGAGAGGATACTAAGTTGGCAACCAAAACCATAAGCATAAGAAAAACAGATAATGCCATAGCCAAAAGAAAGAAAAAAACATTCTAAATAACATTATATAGAGACTGAAGATCAAGCGCCAAACAAAGATTGTGATCTAAGGTACTGGAGAAGAGTCACTGTTTCTGCTCCACTACATGTTCACTTGTACAGTAAATATCAGATAATAAAAGAAGTTTGGCATCACATAATATTGGACATGTTATGTCTTCTGTTTAATCAAACATTTTCACAAATTCATAAACTAAATTCAAAGGTACCATTAGTTTTTTTTTTTTTTTTCCAATTCATAAATATGGGTTTTAGGAAGATGTTAATATTAGTTGAGGCTAAATGCTACAGGTTGAAAATGATTGCCAGATTAGAACAAAACAAGTTAATTCCAGCAAAAATTTGGGTAAATTTAATTAAAGCACAAACATTGCCAAAAGAATTTTTTTTCATTCTCCATCCGTTTGATGTTTACATTATTTGTGTAAGGATCATGTTCTTGTAAAAGTAAAAAAAAATTAAGTGAATCTGACTTCATTTTCATCAGAACTCATTCTATGTGTTTTCTGGGGAAAACATTTTAAAAATGAAACTGGTTTCTTTTTGCATGTAAAAACATACTTTAACAATAATTGGCTTCACTTGTATTCTTTATTTAACCATTAGGAATATAACAACAATTCAGAAGGTTTTGAAGGATTATTACACCTTTGAAAGAGGAGTGTGCTCAATACATTTCGGCATGTGTGCAGTTAAATATTCAAGGTGGGCAGTTGTCATCAAATTATTCAGTTTCAATTCATAGCTGTATAACCCATGAAAAAAAGGAATATTTTACAAAAATAATAATGTTTAAAGTCACAAATTTGGTTTGATCTGTATTTTGAATATTGCATCAAGTTAAGTGATGATACTTTCATTGTTCACCTTTACAAAATGATATGTCACTTACAAATCTATAATCGTTTGTGAAAGATCAATGCCACAAACAGTTAAAGAAAATAATATTATGTATATAAATTGTGTGGGTCCAAAAGTTGACTTAAATGTTTAAACTCTATGATTTGGGTTCAAAAAATTTCTATTCAACTGAAAGTCTGGGACTTTGCTATATTCTTTAACATGTTTAAGCAAACCTGGGCAGTTAATCTCTACATATTATCAAAATAAAAAAAAATAGTTTTCAGCACAGCTTATGTGAATGGTAGATTAAACTTGATGTGATTTAAACAGAAACAAAATCTGTGTTTTCTTGACCACAAAGTCCAATGGGTTGTGTTGCTTACCAGTAGCCACTATTCGACAGTCTGAGGCCTTGGACTTAAGGAAATTTTTAGTACCTGCTAGGTTCATTTAAACAAAACTGTTTCACTTTTTATTAGTCCCCTACCGACAAAGTCGAAGGGGACTTTAGGTTTGCACTCCGTCCGTCTGTCTGTCCATCCATCAGTCCATCAACTCAACTTTCCACACTTTTTTCTTCGTTCTTGAAGATATTGATTTGATATTTGGTATATAGTTTTATCATGACAAGTTATAGATCAAGTTCGAATTTTGTTCCGGTCTGATGATTTAGTCCAGAGTTATGGTCCATAAAAAAACTCCATAACTAATGTTAGAGTACTATGTTAAACCATATAATATGTACAAAGAGAGATAACTCATTTTTGTCGAGCCTTCGACTTTTGTCGAAAAAGCGAGACATAGCGATCCTACATTCCGTCGGCGTCGTCGTTGTCGTCGGCGGCGTCCACAAATATTCACTATGTGGTTAAAGTTTTTGAAATTTTAATAACTTTCTTAAACTATCCTGGATTTTTACCAAACTTGGACAGAAGCTTGTTTATGATCATAAGATAATATTCAAAAGTAAATTTTGTAAAAAAAAAAATCCATTTTTTCCGTATTTTACTTATAAATGGACTTAGTTTTTCTACCAGGAAACATTACATTCACTCTGTGGTTAAAGTTTTTGAAATTTTAATAACTTTCTTAAATTATCCTGGATTTCTACCAAACTTGGAAAGAAGCTTGTTTATGATCATAAGATAGTATCCAGAAGTAAATTTTGTAAAAAAAAATTCCATTTTTTCCGTATTTTACTTATAAATGGACTTAGTTTTTCTGCCAGTTAACATTACATTCACTCTGTGGTAAAAGTTTTTAAAATTTTAACAACTTTCTTAAACTATCCTGGATTTGTACCAAACTTGGACAGAAGCTTGTTTATGATCATAAGATAGTATCTAGAAGTAAATTTTGTAAAAAAAAATCCAGTTTATCCGTATTTAACTTATAAATGGACTTAGTTTTTCTGCCAGTTTACATTACATTCACTCTGTGGTTAAAGTTTTTTTAAATATTAACAACTTTCTTAAACTATCCTGGATTTGTACCAAACTTGGACAGTAGCTTGTTTATGATTAAAAGCTAGTATCTAGAAGGAAATTTTGTTAAAACTTTGTTCCATTTTTTCCGTATTTTACTTATAAATGGACTTAGTTTTTCTTCCAGTTAACATTACATACAGTCTGCAGTTTAAGTTTTTAAAACATTAATTAGATTCATAAACTATCCTGGATTTTTACCAAACTTGGACAGAAGCTACTTACAATCAAAAGATAGTATAGAGAGGAATATTTTTATTAATTTTTTCCCTCATTTTTGTTGAGCCTGCGATTAACAGCAAAAGTAGGCGAGACACTGGGTTCCGCGGAACCCTTACAAATTTTTTAAAAGACATTCTTTGGTAAATTGTTTGAGGAATTTTGTGGCAGGTTTATATGTCATGTATGTTATTTTGTATAAACTAACTTTCTGAATGCTACATGTATATATATATTTTTTTTTTATTAAGTGAAATCCTTTAATTAGATAATAATCTATTTTTATTAAGGTATATATTTCATTACATTACACTGTGTAGATAAAAGTTGTTGACATTTTATAGATAAGTTACAAATCTATATTAGTTTGTGACAAATGAAAGAAAAAATATTTGGAACTATTAACTATATTTGATTGTAATTTAAAAATAGATATACATTGTATTACATCATATCTAATTTTAGAGAACTATTAATCATATCTAATGTTAGAGTGTTATAGGTTTTCCACACTTTTTTTCATCATGCTTGAAGATATTGATTGACAATTGGTATATAGTTTTATCATGACAAGTTACAGATCAAGTTCAAATTTTTTGTTTCCGTCTGATAATTTTGTGCAGAGTTATGGTCCTTGGACTTGAAGAAATTCACTCATATATTCAGTTTTCCACACTGTTTTTAGTCATGCTTGAAGATATTGACTTGATATTTTCTTTTTGTTTACACCATGACAAGTTATAGAACAAGTGAGCATTTTGTTCCAGTATAATGAATTTTTACCCGGTAGGGGACTATGTATTGCCATGCAATACTCTCAGAATGCTTGTTATTTTAAAAGTGCTGATTGGAATTTTGTTAATTTATCTTTGTTTGTTTTGTTGACCAATTAAAAATGAGTGTATTTTTATTCAAGGTTGAAATATATAGCGTTATGGTCTGGGTCACAAACTAGGCCTTTGGTAAATGTTTGAATAATTTTTTTTCCAATGAGAAAGCAGTAAAACAACACAATCAAAATCAAAAGATACCTTATGCATACTTTATGGTGATCTATAGTTGTTAACTTCTATGTCATTTGGTCTCTGGTGGAGAGTTGTCTTATTGGCTATCATACCGCATTTTCTTATTTTTATTTTATATAATTATTCATCATTTTAGAAGATCAATCAGGAATTAGGTTAAGGTCACACACAAATAAAGGTATTTGTTGATAATAGATAAAATGATAGTTATCCTTCAGTCGATTAAATCTGTCATAAAATAAGGATTAGAAAATAATGTTTCTGAAAAAAACTTTAAAATATAAAGACACCAAAAGTATAAATGCCATTACCTTAGCTATTCATTTAATTTTTATCATGAATAAGTTTAATGTCACAAATGTATATATTGATTTTATGATAAACAAAATGCTAGTTACCCTTCAATGAATTGAATCTGTTATAAAATAAGAGATTAAGAATAGTATTTAAAATAACTTTAAAAAATAGAGAAACCAAACATATGAATATAAATGTTTCGGGTATTGATCTATTGTTTATTTTTTACCATCCATTCCATTCTTAAGGTAAACATCTTAGTTAGTTAGTCCCTATTGATACATGTAATCAGGGTAATTGACAATAATGAAATGCATAATATACCTCAAATCAGTTCATCTTGATAACTTAATGAATATTTGTTAATTTGACAATTACATATTTTATGTAGGCAGATGATAATCCTTTTTCTTAACATGCAAGGTATGTTTATTATTTTTACATAATATTTCTTTTTTTTACAAAGACTAGTCCTCATTGAACAATCTTTTCTTCGTTCAATTGGTAAATTTGTCAGTTTGGTAATACATTGCAAACTGCAATCATATAATGAATTTACCTTTAAGAATGTGAATGGATTATTTGATATTGGATATAGACATTATACCCAATCATTAATTTTCATTGCTTGTGATTGTTGTTTAGATATTTTTGAAGATTTTTAATTGTAGATAAATATGTACATGTGAAAATAGTAAATTATGAAAAATATTTGAGAGTTGGGATTGGAAAATATATTATTTAAATTATCAATATTTAATGTATTGTGTGAATAATTATGGCAGAATTAGTCACTAAAATCACTGTATTGCTGGAAAAGTGTAGGTACATGTATTAACTGCGGCTTTACCATTATTCGTTCGATACCAATTTTCGTTGATCTCGTGGGTATTACTTAACATGGAATTAAAATGGTCAAGAAAGACTAAGTAATAATTCTCTATATGCTTGTATGTAGACTTTGTCAAAACCACGAAATAAAGTATCCACAAATGTAAAATTTATCCTCAATCGTGGAAGATTGGTATCAACCTAAAGAAAAGAATCGACAGTATAATGTTTAGTGATTAAAACATATTAAAATTAGATTACACGTGCCTCATAATCAACAGAGACATACAAAATGTAGATAAGGTTGTTTACACTGCTACTTTTGCATAGGTACTATTTATGTACTAAAAATCTTAAGTACTGGAAATTTACTTTTAATATTTAGTACTATTTCTTTACTTTAAAATTATTGTAATATTTAGGTACCTGTATTTTACAGTACTTGATTGGATTAAATTTTGGTACAGAAATAATATCCAACAGTGATTGCAATATTCCATATGTTTGAAAATCATAACTTAAAGAGATTTGAAATAGACAAACTTTCAAAATGCTGAAAATGTAACGGTATAACCCAAAATCTGTAGTACTTAAATTTCAAGTACAAATCAAGTACGTACTGTAAAATACAGGTACCTAAATATTACAATAAATTTAAAGTAACAAAATAGTACTGAATATTAAAAGTAGATTTCCAGTACTACAGATTTTTGGTACAGAAATAGTACCTATGCAAAAGTAGCTGTGTAAATGCATTTTAAGAATAATTTGTTCATGCAATATATATACTCTGTACTTATATCTTCATATATCTTAAACAGATCATTGCTAAAAAGATACGTAATTAAGAGTTCAAAACTCTTGCAGTATATTTAATTTTTCTTCCTGTGCGATGCTTAGATGCTTTTGTGTTAAGATCAAGATTGACATATAATAGAACTGAGCCATGGATTTAATCAATTTAGACATGTTTTGATACAAAGGTAACTGTATCAGCACTGGTTTAAGGGATGATTCATTCGTACAAGGTTACCATAAAAGTAAAAACGTTTTATGATTCATTTGTAATATGGTACATAGAAGTGCAAAGCTGAGCTATTAATGTTGAAGTCTTATTAATATTTACCAACAATATGTGATATAAGTTCAGAAAATATACATCATCATTTCTTGAGTTTGGAATAATAATTTTTAATTCACCGCTTTTATCTGATTTCATTAGATTAAATATTTTGATTTAAGCAAACATTTATACAGAAAAATATCAAAAGCATTTACTTACCTTTAAAAAATGTACAGTACGCAGTATAAATGTGGTTGTTGACAATCCGGTGTATATGTTTGTTATTGTTGATGTTTTACATGTTACATGTTATAGATTCATTTCATAATAAATATCTTGAATCTCTTCATAACATATATATATACCTGAAACATACACGTCTTCCTTAGATATGCATAATTTCTTAATATGAGGAAAACAAATATTGAGAATGAGCTGCTAAAAAAATATTTTATATGAATAAGTTTCAATACCATTAGTGTACATATTGTACAGATTGGTTCACTTCCTGCATAACATAGGGAAAAAATACTGGATCTAAACGTAATACAATTTCGGCTTCATATCTCTAGTGTATCTCGCAGTAAATGGATGTTTACTGAAAAAGAGACAAAAGACACCAAAGGGACAACCAATTATTATAATTTGAAGAAAATCTAACATTACCATGGCAAAAATCGAAATAAAAAGCTATGACGACAACAAACAACTATCAATTGCGAGTAAACTTTAAAAAAGAATATTTTCCCTGTATGTTCAACAGAAAGTATAAATTACTTCACAGTGGAATATTTCTAGTTTTAAGGTGATAAAACCACTCTAATTATGATGAAACCGGTATATATTTGCATTTGAAAGTTAGGACTCATTAACTCGTTATTTTGACCTAAAGATATGTAATTAACTGGATATGTGAAATATTTTTTGTATGAAAAAGGACTAGATGTAGAACAAAATAACTGAAATCGAAAATATGCGTCTACCTTACGTTATGGGGAACGTGAACATGACTTTAAACAAGATATTTCATAAGTTACATGTAGCACTGAGAAAGAGGAGGATTATAAAAATTAGTACAAAGAGTTAGGGCCATTTACACATGTTACATTATCTTCTTATATGTAAGGCTTAGTCTGTACCCATATCTTTATTGGAATCATCTTGTATATTTGTCTTAATGGGTCCGAGGACACAGTCATCGTCCTTTGATTTTCGTTTTCTACAAATATAATCCCTAGTGTGGAAAATGTATAACTTGCAAATTTTTTCATACACTTTCCAAATTTATTTCTTAATATTTTATGCATGAAATATTAAGAAGGGGATGAAATTACATGTTAAAAAAATTGGGTGATCGATTTTTATGTAAAGTAGATTTGGTCCAGTTGAAAAAAGGTAAAAAATTAGTATGTTTGAAGCTGACCCCCTTAACATAGAATTGTCCATGTTTTGAGTTAGAGCTTGTAGACTTTTCTATGATTTTGATATTATTTGTCCCAAAAGTAGTACACTACACTGTAAAAATCATTTTTGAGATAGAGCAGGTGCGATTTTTTTTAATTTGAGTTTACTGCCTAAAAAAATGCATAACGAAATAACTGTTCTCGGAATTCATGTGAATATTGTGAACAAGAGGGTAACATTCTACGCTAAAATGTGGTTAAGGGGTAACTTTTTCAACGTTACTTTTTCGCAATAAGCAATTAACAACTTGAAAAACAACAATCAACAATTTGTAAGAAAAAAATAACAGGACATTCATTAGCCTTCTGCTCAGTTATGTTTTATTTATGCACTTTAGGGAGTGTCACTGATGAGTCTTTTTCAGACGAAACGTGCGTCAGCGTTCTAAGCCATAAGCCTGGTATCTTTGATGAGTTTTTAATCATTAATATGTTGAGTTGCACTGTGAAATCAATTTCCAGGTCTACCAGGTAGTCACTCCTTTTTGACGAAACTTCGTTTTTTTATGATTCCCGGTAAGAATGGAATTTTCTGTTCGATATTTTTCAGATTCTGTATTGAATGAGTTGATATTTTGTCGTGATCTTTATAATGTTGAGTTGTACCGTATAAGCGATTTTCAGATTTGTTGGTCAGTCACTTCCTGTTACGATATTTTTAATTTTTCGCTATATATACTGAGCATGGGTTATTTCGTCAATATCTATACATTGCAGGACCTCTTGTGCAACTTTTTTGTTGGGTTTATAGTTGCATAAGCATAGTTCAGTGATATATAATTAATCTGATTTTCATACGACCGCAAAAAAATTTTTGTGGTCGTATATTGGTATGACGTTGGCGTCGTCGTCGTCGTTGTCGTCGTCCGAAGACACATTAGTTTTCGCACTCTAACTTTAGTTTAAGTGAATGGATCTCAATGAAATTTCACCATAAGGTTCAATACCACAAAAGGAAGGTGGGGATTGATTTTGGGTGTTATGGTACCACCAGTTTAGGAATTAGGGGCCAAAAAGGGGCCAAAAATAAGCATTTTTGTAACTTCCAGACATAACTTGTGTGTAAGTGTATGGATCCCTCTGACATTGTACCACAAGGTTCCATATCACAAAGGGAATGCTTGGATTGATTTTGGGGGTAATTGCCTCCAAATTTTAGGAATTAGGGGCCAAAAAACAAGCATTTTTCTAGTTTCATGACAATAACTTATGTGTAAGTGTATGGATCTCTCTGACATTGTATCACAAGGTTCCATATCACAAAGGGAATGCTGGGATTGATTTTGGGGATAATTGCCGCCAAATTTTAGGAATTAGGGGCCAAAAAGGGGCAAAAAACAAGCATTTTTCTAGTTTCATGACAATAACTTGTGTGTAAGTGTATGGATCTTTATGAAATTGTACTACAAGGTTCCATATCACAAAGGGAAAGCTGGAATTGAGTTTGGGGGTAATTGCCCAAAAAGTTTAGGAATAAGGGGCCAAAAAGGGGCCAAAAATAAGCATTTTTGTAGTTTCCAGACAATAACTTGTGTTCAGGTGTATGGATCGCTCTGAAATTGTACTGCAAGGTACCATACCACAAAGGGAAGGCTGGGATTGATTTTGGTGGTAATTCCCTCAAAATTTTAGGAATTAGGGGCCATAAAAGGGCAAAAAAACAAGCATTTTTCTAGTTTCAGGACAATAACTTGTGTGTAAGTGTATGGATCTTTATGAAATTGTACTGCAAGGTTCCATATCACAAAGGAAAGCTGGGTTTGAGTTTGGGGGTAATTGCCCTAAATGTTTAGGAATTTGGGGCCAAAAAGGGGCAAAAAAACAAGCATTTTTCTAGTTTCCAGACAATAACTTGTGTGTAAGTGTATGGATCTTTTATGAAATTGTACTACAAGGTTCCATATCACAAAGGGAAAGCTGGAATTGAGTTTGGGGGTAATTGCCCAAAAAGTTTAGGAATAAGGGGCCAAAAAGGGGCCAAAAATAAGCATTTTTCTAGTTTCCAGACAATAACTTGTGTTCAGGTGTATGGATCACAAAGGGAAGGCTGGGATTGAGTTTGGGGGTGATGAATCATAAGGGGGTTCAAAAAATTTGGGGGGGGGGGTTCCTTTTTTTCTTTAAAATTTTCCATTTTAAATTGGTTATTTCTGATTTATATATAAAAGCAAATAATAATGATATGGTTTGAATAGGTAAAATTTTTTAAGTTCTTAGACCACTTTCATTCTGTGTAAGAAACCTATGCTGTGTCAAATTACAATCCAAATTCAGTGAGTAAAAATCGGAAAGTTGACAGTGGGAAATTTTAGCTATCACAATGTTTTTAAAGTTTAGTTTTCTTATACCTGAAATATCAATACAGGTGCAAGTCAAGATATGAAATAAACTACTGTGTATGTGTGATATTCTTTACTTCATTCAATGGGGATAGATGCGATAAATTTAGTCGTTTATCTGATTATTCAGTGAAAAAGATATCATCTTGTAAGGGAATTGTGGGCAATAGGGTAATACCAGTTTCTTTCATTCTCTAGGTGAAGCCGATGAGTAGATTATTTTATCATTGCTGACATGGTCGTTTTCTGTTGGTTTGCTGTTGATGGAATGTAAGGTTCATTTCATGCACTAGATAAGCTGGCCTATGCCCAGATGACTTTGACAAGCAATGACAATGTTTTCAAGTGTCTCGCATCGGTGAAGTCGAAAAAACGAGACCTAGGCGTGATGCTTCAAGCGTCAGCGGCGTCAACATTTTTTTTTTTTTGTTTTTTTATTAGGTCAGTTTAAGGGAAACCAGTAGTGTAAGGTCAGTGATATTTTA